TTAAAAGACAAAAATCACATCAGTTTACTAGACAAAGAAAAACATCTGATAACATCCAAAATAGATTCCTGGCAAGAGCAACTGACAAACTAGAAACCGAACCTCAAACTGAACACCATGCGATGAACACAAACCCACTCGCTGCCGACACCAATGTTGATGAGATACAAGTACTGGAGGGACGGACTGGAACCTTTGGTGGGTTGGGCCGACCAAGAGGACCTTTCACTGGGGTTACACTCTTGAAGATGAAGTGGAACACTGGCTCTCTCTTCTGGTTCTTTTAATTTTGCTTTCTGGCTCCTACGGCCAGCAGCTTGACATGTAATGAGCCCGACCATCAGGCGCCATTCTTGCCAAAGGCTTATGGTTATGAGACCACTCCATCTTGGACATGAACCTCTAGCATCATGATCAAAGCAAACCCATGCTAATTGCATTAGGCATTTTGTTATGGTTACAGGGAGACAACACGGGCACATGCTTAGTGATGGCGTATCTGCGGATTACATGGCAAGACTCCTCTTTCTATTGTTCTCCACAGTGGTAAGGAAGCGTGATGAACATTCCTGCCAACAGTGTGCAGGATTCCCGTTTCTCCACGCCCTTGCCAATACTTGTTACTTTCAAACAACAGGCTCCGCAAACATTGCTAACTTTAATTTGCAATTCTCCGATGGTTATTCTTTTCAACATACATACTGGTTGGTCATCTGAGAAGTATCTATTTTTACCTCAGTTCTTTATCAGGATATGTGTTTGCCAACTTTTAGAATTCCTTATGTACTTTGGATATTCACTCCTTATACAAAATGTAAGGCTTGAGCTGAACACGTTATACTTTACGCCTGTGCATTCGGGAGGCTGAGACAAAAGGACTGTCAATCTGGGGCTAGTCTCCAGCACACAGTACATTTCCGGGCTACAGAATATCTGTTTACCCTAGGGTGCATACAAACGAGACAGAGTGTCGTCTCAGTAGACTGTCATGTTTGTATCCTGGACATCCTAATAAAAGGCGCCGCCCAGACCAAGTTCACGATGGTTTTACTCCACTTCCCCAGTGTGTCTGAGGCCACAGAGCTTGCTGTTTAATCCACTTTGAGTTACTGTGTATGCAGCACGAAGGTAACTAACGATCCCGGCTCGTCTACGGGCAGCCAGCTAGCTTTCCTGGGGCCAGTCACGGAGAACACCCCTTCCCCTACTCCTACCTCAGCATACTACCGTGGTTTTAGAGGGTTCTCACACCAAGTAGCGTGATGCTTCCTGTTTGGTTCTGTTTCCTTCAGATTGTCTCAGCCATTCAAGTAAAACTGTCATTTGAATACAGACCGAAAAAAAAAAAAAAAAAGAAAAACTGTACTGAGTCAGGCACAGTGGCACACTGTGATCCCAGCACTGGGAAAGGAGAGAGGGAAGGTGGTGCAAGTTCAAGGTTGTCTATTTCAAACAACAAAAGCAGAGGAATAAAAACAAAAAGCTGCACTGACTCTCTATAAACAACTCTGGGTAATGTGGATAGTTTAGTAATGTTTATTCTTCATGGGGTATATTGTCACTTGTGTAATTTTTTAAAAACTTTTTACCAGTATTTTTTTAATTCTCAGGTTATGTATCTTTCAGTTCCTTCATAATGTATTCCTAAGTATTTTATTGTTGTTAGTTAACCACGGATTCAACTGCCATCTTGATTTCTTTTTCCAATGGTTTTAGTATACAAAACTATCACCAATTTTTGAACACTTTGAATCCTGTAACTTAACTAACTCATTAGTTTATTTTTGTATTTTTAGTCAGAGTTGAAATTTATTGGAGATGTTCTAATATAGACTTTTAAGGACAAGAGAAAGAGGCAACTGCAGAGAGAAACACCTGACAGTACCTGCTGTCACATGATCGCATGCAGGCAACAGCACGAGGAAGGCAGGGAGAGGAGAGACGGAAGGACAGTATTCTACTGGTTCTAGATATGAAGCAGTTAAAAGTAGATTATGATAAATTTGTGATATATATTATAAACTCTAATGAAATAAAACCAAAAAGGTCAGAAAGGAGGTAAAATACACAATCATAATGTACTCCCTTCCCCCTTTCACACTCACACACGCACGCACGCACGCACACAATCAACAGTCACCTTAATTACCAAACATCTAATCCAATTAAAGACAGTCCGACTAGAAGTATGGTGAAATGCAGGCTGAAACTTGCATTCGGAGGTCAGGTAAAGATAAAGCCCCACGGCAGGAGGTCACCAAGTATGACCGTATGGAATACTTCGAGGATGCAAGGAAAACCTGGAGAGAAATTAAGTGACGGAGGAGAGAGAAAACCAGTCAGGCTTAAGTCAAACAAGACGCTTGCTTTTGGAAAGAAGGCACATTCAGACTGAAGCACAGGCAGTGTGGGTGGCACCGCACTACACTAGAAAGGTAGATTTTAGTCAAGACCCACACTGTAGCTGTTAGCGACGGCTCACATGGAGCTGCTGAGTATTTAACCTTGGCCGGTACCTTCGGAGGGCTCAAAGTTCAATTTGGTTTTCATTTACTTAACACTATTTCAACTACAGACCCAGGACTTCAAAACAAGAGTATTTCTACTTTGGTTTTCTATCAGAAGTCATTACTGGCTGGGGACAGAGTTTATCACTGAGTCAATCTCTGCTAAGAAACAGAGCTATTACATTTATGATGTCCTGCTGATCTGTTTTCTCGATATTGATTGGATATTCTTTTAGTCTGTGAAAAAGGAGACATTAGGTGGATTGCTAAACCTGTAATTCAGGAAATAAACCCGCTTTACCATCTTTCCTATCTAGTATGTTCCATACGACCTAGATATTAGAGATTTAGATTTTCCACAGTAGAAAATTCAAACAACGTCAAGGGGAATGCCAAGGCAGTGAGATGGGAGTGGGTGGGTGGGCACCCTCATAGAAGTGGGGGTGGGGGGTGGAATGGGGGTTTGCAGGGAAACTGGATGGAGGGGAAACTGGGAAAGGGGATAACATTTGAAATGTAAAAGGAAAAAAAAAATTAAACACCAGTTTGTTCCTTATCATATAATTAATTGGTAAATCTTTTCCATTTCATCTCATCCTTCAAATCCTTTATTCTAAAAAATCATTAACTGCTCATCTGAACTCTAAGCCAATGTCCAAATTTTGTGTCATCCCAGGTATTTCAGCAGCCTTAACATTTACCTGAACAAGACCCTTGTCTGTTTCCTACCATCACCTCAAACTCAGTGACTCCGTGAGTAACGGCTGGAAAGGGGGGGGCTGGGGTACACGCATGTGTGTGTATGCGCCTGGGCATGCATGTGCGTGTGAGGCAGTAAGGGTATGGAGTTGGAGGGGGGTCATTAGTTTGTCTTTGTTAGTGTTCCCTAATTTTCCTTTCCAAGTTCAGCAGAGTGTGCAGTTCTCTGATGTCTACTCAACAGAGAAGAAAAAGCAAATCTAGATGTACAGGCTCTACTGGTTTCTAATCAACACGATGTGTCTATCATGCTGCCTGCAGCGTTTCCCTCACAGGGACTCAAGACCAAAGAAGAGCGTCCAGGACAGTCAGGTTCTTCAGATCACAAGTCCCCCGTTAGTCCCCAACTATCCCCAACTCTTATGTGCTTATGTGCATCCCTCCCAAAAGCCTGGCTGTCAACCGTCTGCGGACATGACTCAGCTCGGTCTAGGAGAAAAGGGTGAAGAAGCCATGCAGGTGACCTAGGACTTTGTGACACTGGAGGCAGGGAGTGAAACTGCAAGGTGAAGCTCACTGACGGCAGGCTACATGCCGTTAGAGCCCATCTAGAGTCTGCTCCCTTAGAAACTACCTCTTCTTCAAACTCCAAATACAGTATAAGGGAGACCCGAGGAAGGTTTGATATTCAGAATGCACATACCGGTGAGTATGAAGACTATGGGCTTCGTGGCATGGCTTCCACACACCTACTCTTATGAGAACGAGTAAGCGAGCACAGGGCAAAGACTTTTATCACTGTGACTCTAACAGACACTAGACCCTCTATCCTCACCCATACCTTACCTGTTCTCCAGCTGATCCAGGAAGACACATCCAAGCCTCTCTGCATCTCAGAATCCTGCCTACTTTCCTTTTACATTATTATTATTATGCCTTATCGACAGTACCTTTTAATTTACTATATTCTCTTCCTCCAGATGTGACTTCTTCAGGATCAGCCTATGTGGTTTTCACCTTGGAATCCCTAATAGAGACAACCAGTGCCAACTATGTTAGCAACCTGTATGTCTACCACATGACTAATGAGTCAAATCTTTTTACTTGATTAAAACATCAAAGAAAAATCTAAACTAATGGTCTAGCAGCTAAAAAAAAAATCGATGGTGATTGGTTTATAATGGTCTAAGTCTTTAATTCAAGATGTCGAAAACTGTTTTCTCTGTTGAGAATTCTTTCTTTGACAAAACTAACTGAGCTGAAGTGCTTAGTGACACAATTAATTTACATTCTTGTCACCATATGGTCCAAATACTTGAAAGTTAAATGAAAACATTTTCATAAAGAGAAGCAGAGTTAAAAGATGGGATTTGAAAGAATAGGAAGAGGACAAGGAGAGTAATAGAGTGAATACATTTTACACACACACACACACACACACACACACACACACACACACACACACAAATAAAATACCATAATGAAGCCCATTTGTTTTAAAGATGCTGAAAATGGAAGGTTACAATGAACTTGTCACCTGGGCATGATGGCTCACCCCTGTAACCTCAGCACTTGGAAGGCTATATATAAGGCAGGAGGATTCCACAAGACTGAGGCCAGCCCAGGCTACATAGTGAGATCCATCTCAGAACAGTAAAAACTTTACCATCCTCATTCTTAAACACGCATCCAACCACAGATCCTTAGATTAGAGATTTAAAGATACCTATTTTTACTGGCAAAAAGAAACAGACACATGACACTTTACATGTTTCTTTAAAACAAAGACACAGGTTTTTTAAAAAACCTAATAAATTTTTAATTAGAATGTTTTCCTTCTTTTTTAAACAGAACAAGAAACAAATTACATCGAAGCAGAACTTCTCCAATACCTAATTATTATACACATTCCCGTCTGTCTTACAGGGAGAACTCTTGGTCGGCTTAAGAGTTCCAGGTAAAGTAAGCTGCATAATAGTATATAATTTACAATAATAAATGTACAGTGTTTACATGAAATATATCTTAGAAGCAAGAAAAAGATGCATCTGCATCAAAAGGTGACCTGTTTAAATGCCACAACTTATATTTTACATTCACTCTTGCAACAGGTTACAAGATTGTGTCACTAAGCTCAAATAAATCAACTATGATGCACATAAAATACACAAAGATTGGTTACTTTATATATTATATATATTTATATTTTAACACATTAGCATCTGAGACATTGACTGATAACAAATCATGTATTCTTCATAAACACGGTGCCCACAGGAGGACACAGGTAAGGCACAAGGGTTCTCTGTTACAGAACAGTGTGCATCACGTTTACTTAAGCAGAAAGCCTGTATTATCTGTGCAGGCTCATGCTGCAAACCAACATCCACAACAGAAAGGAAACTCAACTTAAAATATGGACTGAGATCCCTGTAACTCCAGCTGTCTCTCGTCTTCACTTGGACCAACGGTGATCTCTCCAGCAGGCTGTTTCTCAAAAAGCCAGATTTTTAGGTTACAAGTAAACCTTGATCAGTAACTATTTTGAACTGAAATCATAAACAGTAATAAAGTAGCTTTACTGAAATAAACACTGAGGCACAAAACAATGGTCATTCGTGCAGGACCTACACTGCAGACTTGCATGGCCCAACATTCCAAGGATAATTTGTCTAGTACATTTGCTGTAACAATGCACCCTGTTTTGCACTGGACATAGAACAGGAGCTAACATTTCTTTAAGCTATAAACAGACTGGGAAATGACATAATCCCTTTAGTTCTGTCAGTCCCAGTATTTATAATAAATACAGCTTTTCACAAAATATTTTCCAGTATCTGCCAATTGCTTCTTTATTGCTCACATAAATTTGAACTCATTACAGCTGGTGCCAGAACTTCCACACGAAACCATACTTGGGTATTTTTATATAAAATCTATAAAAGATATTTTAAACATGTATCTAATACTTCCAGGTATTTGGCTGCTTGATCATCTATGACTGTACAGCCATATGTATATATCTGTGTGGATATGTACATATGTACACTTACATATGTACATAAACACACAGTTACGCACATACATACACATATATATATATATATACACACACAGATTAGATTATGAATAAAATAGAAAGCTTATTTTACTGCTAATGCAGACATTCTCACACAACAAGCCTTTCACTGCCATCAGCATTTATACATATACACAAAAGCCAATGTAAGTACATGTACAACCACTTACACATGTATGGAACCATTAAAACCAAATCAATTTCCCCATATTCCAGCTGCAGCAAATGAACCTTTTACAAGCAATAGAAACCTAAGGTTAAAGTGGGAAATGAACAGTTTTACCACAATAGCCTGTAAGGAACTATGCAGCTTACTGTATACAAAAATTCACATTAGTTTACAAATTATGGAAATACAAAAAAAGCTGCTTCGCCATGCTTTTACGTGGTTATATAAACACTTCTTGGTGCAAAAATATAACCAGCATAACACTGTAAGTCAGTGTTCCTCATGCACAACTTCAAACGCACTGGCTTGACTGAGCTCCAAAACTGAAGAAAACAATTATTCTACCTACTCAGCGTCACCGCCTTACTGCTAAATAAATCCCTTTGGAACCTTAAGATTTCCGGAACTTTCAAACAGCTGTCTTCAGCAATAAAAATATTACATACAAAAAGCATTTTAAAAGGAAGACAGGAAGCCAAATGGGAATTTTCCTATGTAAATTAACAATCCTAGGAGTGAAGACATCTTTTCAGGAACTTCCTTGAGAATTAGCTAGGCCAGTCCGCAGGCGCAGGTGAGACATAGAGTTCATATGTTTGTTTGACGGCTTCAAGGGGCTGTTGCAAGTGAGGGCCTGGGGAAAGCGGTGGTGGTATCTATCTAGTCGTAAGTATTTTACTGTAACCAACTTTCCTGTTATAAGATAAAAATAGTATTTTAGATCTGTAAAATGATGTTTAGTACTTGTAGAAAATTAACTGTGGTAAAAAATGTGAACACAAAGCAAATTATCTAAATCTTTTATTCAACAAATATTAACCTAAAATTATTTTATTTAAAATCAGACATAATCTAAACCAACTAATCATCCTGTTCAAATCTTTGTAATAGTCAAATGTCTTACCATCAAACCAAGAGCCATGCAGTGCTTTGAAAGCCTTCCCAGCATATTCCGGAGACAAACATTTAACATACACACAACCCTGTAACAGAAGACAGAGACAGAACGGTCTCAGTGTAGTAGCAGCAGACCCGAAGCACACGTTTACCACTGGACTTGACTTACCTCACGGGAGTTTCTGTCTACAGCAATATGAACAATGCCGTCATTATCGCTGCACTTCTCTAAGATTGCTTCTTGAATTGCCAGATGCCAGTGATCTCCTATTTCCCTGGAATTAAGGGAAACACAATCAAGCCTGCCATTCCCCAGCTGCACTTGCTGTGCTCCACACCGCAGTGTGGCCAAGGAGTCCAGCCGGTCTGGGTAGCTATATATATATACTTGCTGGTTGGTCCAGCTCTGTGCAGACTCGTGCTAACATTACTGCTGCAACAGCTGAAGACTGTTTTCTTTACTGTTAATAACATCTCCCAACTCTAACTTATTTCTTAATGTAAACACTACATTGCAGGCTTCTCTTTCCAAAACAAAAAGAGAAACACCAAAGCCAAGCATGGTGTGTCGGTCACCCCACCTCAGCGAGAGAGTGCCTCAGGAGCGCCCCTGCTGTAGGCATGTGTCTCACAACGGGGAGCCAGACATGCTCTAGAGGGCAAAAGGGAAAGCAACTTGACTTTAAATCTGCCAAACGCACAAGAATGCTGGACTGGAATTGATCTCCTAGTGACTAAAGCACGCGGCAGACTCACTATAGAAGTATCATGCACTGCTAAAAGCAGATCAGAGCGTGTGTTACGGCAACAGGCCCTTCTTATACCTAATCCATCCTGGTATCACTTGTCATTGCACATAAAAATCACGAGTGAATGATTGTCACATGGGATCAGCAGCTATTTGTCTTAAAACATAATTTCTACTGTCAAGATTTGGGGGAAAAAAAACCACTTCTAGGTGAAGAGCTACTGACAGCTGATGGTTTCTGTGGCGGGAACGGCTGGAAGGGTCAGTCCTTTTTAAAGGACTTGGTCTTCATAGCTTTACTACACTCTACTGGACAGCTCCAAACCCAGGACTATATAGTTAGGAGGTGGGGAGTGGGAGTAGACCTGGGAGGAGTTAGGGGAGAAACGGATTAAAATACTATCCATATATGAAATTCTCAAAGAATAAAATATAATTAAAAGAAAACTTGAAAAAAGAAAAGTTTTATCTGTTGTATCATTAACAGCTACAAGTCTACAACTTACTACAACTAAAAACTAACATATGTTAGGAAGATGGTTCAGTGGGCAAGAGTGCTTGCTCTACCAGCAGGAGGGCCTGAGGTCAAATCTCTAGCACTCTCTAAACAGCTGGGCCTGGTGGCTTATGCCTACAACCAGCATGTTATAAGCAAGAGACAATCAGATCCTTGCAGTTTGATGAACACATAGCCTAGGAGACACCTCAAGTTTAGTGAGAGACTCATGCATGGAGACACAGGCACAGGCACGTACACACACACACACACACACATGAGATGCAGTATTCTAAAGTAGTAAATTCTGACACTGCCATTCCCTGGATGTGTGCTGGATGATTATGTAGTGAGAAAAGTTCCTCAAATATTCTTACATATAAAAAGAATATATAAAACACAGAATAAGGTGTTGTTCTGTTTTCCCTTTGTTTTTACAGGAACTAGAAATGTATGGAAGATTAAGGTAGCCTACTGAGGTAAAACTAACAATTTCATAGGAAATGAAAGTTGCATTTAATAGCAGGCATGCATTATTTATTATTATTTGTTATTAATACTTTCATGCATTTATCTGCCAGGCGAAGTCACATTGAATATAGAGATTTATAAACATATGTAAGTCCTTATTTCTGTGTGCTAAAGGTCAAACCTTTGCTTAGAATTTAACAAAAGGGGAAAAGCATAACATTTATAGTTAAAAAGAAAAAAGTTAAAAATTAGACATACAATATAATAGATATAGCATGCAGTTTACACCCAAATACTTCAAATAAACACAATTATGCATGCCTGATCATAATACTTACATAACTGGGTCAAACATATTTCGAATCTTTAAACACGGAGTCAAACTATTTGGTGGTGAATTTCTTCTATCTAAATGAAATGCTATTAAAAAAAAATAATAAAAAGGACTTGTATTACTTGCCATGGTTCCATTTTGTTGAAAAACAATCACTTAGTTCATTAAAAATTATTTGTGATCTCCGCGGCCACCTACTTATTACCCACAATCCCCTCTTCTTTCTCTCTCCTCCAGCCGAGCAAGATGTCCAAATGAAAGAAGGCCAAGGAAGAAGGTGGCTCTGGGCCCTGCCATTGTCAAGAAACAGGAGGCCAAAAAGGTGGTCAATCCTCTCTTTGAGAAAAGGCCCAAGAACTTTGACACTGGGCAGACCATCCAGCCCAAGAGATCTAACACGCACAATACATCAGGCTGCAGAGGCAAAGAGCCATCCTCAATAAGCGGCTCAAAAGTACCTCCTGCCACTAACCAGCTCACCCAGGCCCTGGACAGGCAAACAGCTACTCAGATGCTTAAGCTTGCCCACGTGTACAGGCCAGAGACAAAACAAGAGAAGAAGCAAAGGCTACTGGCCTGAGCTGAGAAGAAAGCTGCTGGCAAAGGGAGCGTCCCAACTAAGAGACTACCTGTCCTCCGAGCAGAAGTCAATAGCCACCTCATCACCATGAACAAGAAGGCTTAGCTGGTGGTGACTGTCCATAATACAGAACCCATTGAGCTGGTGTTTTCCTGCCTGCCCTGTGTAGAAAGATGGGGGTGCCCTACTGCATCATTAAGAAAAGGCCGGGCTGGGGCACCTGTTCCACAGGAAGACATGCACCACTGTTGCCTTCACACAGGTTAACTCGGAAGTCAAGGGTGCTCTGGCTAAGCTGGTGGAAGCTATTAGGACCAATTACAATGACAGATATGACAAGATCCACCACCACACAATAAGATCTGCCACCACCGGAGAGGCAATGTCCTGGTTTGTGGCTCAAATTGCCAAGCTGGAAAAGGCAAAGGCTAAAGAACTCGCCAATAAACTGGGTTAAATGTACATTGCTAAGTTTTCTGTACATAAATATAATTTTAAAAATATCTTCCAAAGCCGGGCAGTGGTGATGCACGCCTTTAATCCCAGCACTTGGGAGGCAGAGGCAGGTGGATTTGAGGCCAGCCTGGTCTACCGAGTGAGTTCCAGGACAGCCAGGGCTAGCTACACAGAGAAACCCTGTCTCAAAAAACCGGAAAAAAAAAATCTTCCAAAAAATTATTTGTATGCTTTTAATGATCCAATTCCTGTGTTAAGGTGGATTAAGATAGTCATTAATATTTAGAGTCAATAGTTTGGTGGAGAAACAGACAACTGATAGTTATCTTCCAGGGATTAGAGTTATGATAAGACTCTACAATAACATCCCCTCGTCGGTGACGGTAAGATTTCCCCAAGGAAGTGAAACTGACTCTGCGAGCTAAGGAATGAATCCCAGTGGGGAGAAGGTGCGTGCACACGACATCTCAGTGGAGATAACTCTGTACACAGCCCTGTGACAAGAAAGGAAAAGGCAGATTCCAATAACTAATCAGATTCAGGCAGATGCAAGTAAGTAATCAATCAAGTGTGGCTGCAACAGAACAGAAAGATGTGCTAGCCAAATGACAATATCCCAATAATGTCCTGAGAGGAGTACAAAACCACACCAAGTGTTTTCAGTACAGGAATCTTTACTTTAAAAAGTAAAATTAGATGGAAAAAATGGAATGACTGTTTTTAAAATAGCAATTCTAAAACATTTTATTTACCTTTTCTACAAATACTATGCTTAGCAAATATAAATAAGCAAGATTCGGTATATGATTTGGTAGGAAAGAGGGTTTACTCTCCATAACTGCCGTCTATACTGCTTTACCCACATTTCTCCTGTATAGGAGGGGTACAAGGACACAAGGCAGCCAGTCTTCAAAACTCCTTATATGCTTTACTACATCTGTTCTGAAACTACACATACTGTTAAGAAAAGCACAGCTACAGAAAACACTTGGAAGGGGAGAGACTCAGGCAAAGGGGTCTTCGTGAGAAACAGGAGGAAGGCAATGCAAACTGGAACGCAGGACACTAATAAAGCGCATGCTCCCACGGGCACGCGGACGGATCCTGAACATACGAACAGAGCTTGTGATAACAACAGCGACCCCAGGTGTCCACAAGAAGAATGCAGTTAGAGCCACAGTACTAAGCTGCTTTGTTAAACAAAAAAGGCAAGATCAAAGAAGTACTGGTCTTTCTTGCTGGAGACGAAACAGTTCTGTTCTAACATTTATTCTTTCTATGAGGCAGAGCTATAAAGGGAACCTTTGCATTCACATATTTTCAAATTAATTGTTTCAATTAAGTATATATCGTATATATTTTGAAAAATTAGAAAATCTTTGGTTTTGCTTAAAACTTAAAGGTACGTACCTTGACCTTGCCATACTTTAGAGGGTATAACTAATGTCTTGTCACAAGATGCAGAAGGCTGGATCCAGCGCCAGACTAGAAAGTCCGCACCGCCTACCCTTCGAGTCTCGGTGCGGACTCTAGACTCATTAGCAGCAAGGAAGTCAACAGCTCGGTCCCAGACTTTCTTCATCTTTTTCCTATCACACAAACCAAACAACAAGTTTCCTCTTGGCTTCTCACTTTTGGAAACGTTAGTAAGTGAAGTACTGGTTATTGGTAGTTAGTAAGTGAAGTGCTGGTTATTGGTAGTTAG